TTGCTTAATGATAAAAGGGTCAATTCAACAAGAATTTAACTTATTTTTTCACAAATTTGAAAATATTTTGCAAATTGAAGTACTTTTTAAAATTTCATCCTTCAAAAGAAACTGTTAAGAAAATGAACCAACTTTAGCCTAGGAGAAAATATTCACAATATACATATCTGATGAAGGATATAAATACAAACAACTCCTCAATTAAAATAAATCAAGCCTAATTAAAAAGTGGGCCCAAACTTGAGACAAGAAATTCATTAAGGAAGATACACAAATGGTGAAAAAAGGTATAAAATATCTTAAACATCATTACACCAAGAAATACAAATTGAACCCTGATTATTTTGCATTCAGTAGAACACCTAAAAAAAGACAAATTAAAAAACTGTCATTAGCAAATGTTGCTAAGGATGTGGAGCAAATAGAGCTCTCCTATGTTGCTGATGGGAGCATGAAATGCTATGAGCAGTTCAGAAACCAGTCTGACATTTTCGTTGTTAAAACTCACACTAAACACGAAGAGTCTATATATTTCAATGCATGTAAATTATATTTTTGCTTAAAAAGAGAAAAATGAGAGTGTAATTATCCTATTTAAACCTCTTTTCCCTATATTACTAAAGATCCAAAATGTGCTTTGACCTTTACCTGTCTTTCCACCTTGATCTCACATTGTCTCATTTACTGTGCATGGCCACACCAGTCAAGCTCTTCCCTGCCTCAAGACCTTGAAGCTTGTCCTTTCCTCTGTTTATACAGTCTTTCTCTAGCTCTTTGCATAACTGGCTCATTCTCACTCTAAGTCTTACCTCTACCATCACCTTCTCAGAGAACACTTTCCTGACCACCGTAACATAAGCCCCCTTCTAGTCATTCTTTGGCACTGCCCTATTGAATTATTTTCCAGCACTCTCATTATCTGTTACAATTTTGATTTTGGTTTTATTTTTGTTGTCTATCCTTTATTTTTCACCTCTCTCCATTTTCAGTGTTACCGTTCTCAGTACCATATTCCCATTCTCTCACATACAGCCTGGCATATAGCAGGAATTTAATAAAAATTTGTTGATTGAAAGAATAAACTGTCCTCTGCAGGTGAAAGAAGGGAAAAGGTAATTCTTCAGAAAATGTAGTTGAGAAACAGACCTTTTATCTAATTCACCTGAAGAAGTGTCCCAGAATTTCTTAGAAGAATTGAGTACATACATTGGGGAATTAAGGAAAACAACCATGGTTGTAAAGTGCTAAAGTTTATACTAATTTTATAACAGAAATTACATTCAGATAAAATTGCTAGAAATTTGGAATTTTTATAAAAATATATAAAGTAGAAGATGTTAACAGTGTGGTCAGACTCAAAAAAGTGAGTATCATGGTAAATTAAAAAAAAAATGTTATCTTGCTCCAGAGATAATCTTTAAAGCCAAGAAGCCATCTGGAATTAACAAGATTGCAGAAATCAGGAATCATAAATGAGCAAGAATATTTTACCCACTGGGTGAACAGGTCAAAGCTCCCATATAATACGCCTCTGAATCTCCCAAAAATCTGGTTGCCAATGTTGATAAATTGGGAAAAGTAAATGGGACTTTCCAACATATACAAATATAAAATAGCCTGATACATGGAAAAGAGCAAAAGAAGCCACATATAAAAATACATAAAAACATTTCTAAAAGTCAAAGCAGGCAAAACTTCTAATCCATGCTGTTAAAAGTCAACTTAGTGGTTATCTTAGGGAGGAAAAGAGTTCTGAAGGAGACAGAGGGCCGGTGATATCCTAGTTCTAGATGTAGGTTCTCGTTTTCTGAGTGTGTTCAAAGGATGAAAACTTATTGAGTTCATCCAGGCTCCCTATGTATTTTATCTCAGTAACAACTTTACATAAAAGAAAAGTGTGTCCAGAACATTTAGAAGTCAAAGGGAAAAGGAGTTAAGGATTTAAAAATTAAGCAGTCAAGTAAAACAGCTATCATAATATGCAAGGGGCTTGGCCTCGCTCCCTATTCTCAGCTAAGGCAGGCCTTTAGGCTGTCATTTTATCCATAAGATTTCTTGCCGGTATAGGAGGTTGGTCTTTGTTTTTCCAACTGATTCATAGGAAATTGGAAACTCTGAGCAGGTCAGTGAAAAGATTAAAGCCTCACAGGCAATTAGACATAGACTGCACCTGGTCTTCACCGCGCTGCCCCCCCACCCCCACCCCATGCCCCATAGCCGCAGCACCGCCGTGCTGAGCTTTGGGCGTTGGAGCCAGCTGTTGCTGTGAGCCCTGGCCACCTGACTATGCTGAGCCTAGGCTCCAAGACATGAATGTCTTCATCAGGATTCAGCAAAGATGGCTTCCTAATTTATTTCAAGGTTGAGATAAATGAACATATACCCAATCTGTCAGCACTACATATACTCCCCTGGAAGCAAAATGTCAATGAGTGCAGCTAATAACATTAGAAGGCAATGTTAAATAACTACTTTCTCCCCTTCTATAAGCCCAATTACTGATTGTTCGTATTCAATGACTCCTGATGACACTTGAGAGCACAATAACCCAAGCTCAGGGTGCAAGGGCATAAAACTTGGGGTGCCGTTGGCAACAACTGTCTCTATAGTGTCACATTCATCAACCTCCTATCCTTTAAACAATATTCAAGTTGTCGTTTAGAATGTTTTGAATTCAGTACTTTTATTCCAAGCTGTTTCTCCTTTAAAACACCTGAATATAAAATTTATAAGCACAGGTTTGGAGAACAGATGGAGAAGGAACTCGGGCTGCTTAGCAGACAATTTATGGCTGCTTTCTGCCCTTGTGGGGGCCATCAGTGGAGCTAATGGAACTCCCCTGACCCTGCAACAGCCCCTTCTCTCTGCCTTTTCCTCAAGATAGCTGTGCTGGGAGCAAAATGCAAACCTCTGAGGGCCCTAGGGACTACTTTGCCTTCAGAACCACTTCACAGGTATTTAAATTGGATACAGACTCCAGCATTACAGTTCTTCCTGGTTTCTTCCCAATCTGAGTAAATCTTCCCGTCCAACTGAAGCCAGTTTTCGCTCAACTCACAATATATTCCTTTGTGTGCACTTTCCCTCTGAATTGAATTCTTTCTTATCTCAGTCAAGGATAAGCCCTGCCCTCACTGTCTCCCAGACATCTGATCTTTTGGTTGCCGTGTTCTCTGTTTCTGCTCTAAGAACTCTTCTCCTTCTTTGACAAGAGTTCGGGCTCTGCTTCCTCCCCTCTTTCACCCAACTCTGAACACTTGGCTCCTCTGCTTCCCCATGCCAGACTGCAAAGGCATCTTGCCTGAATGCTTAGCCACACGCACAAGTGCTTACAAGACAGAACACTCATGGTGTAAGTGAGACGGGCAAGTCCGGTGTTATTTTGACTTTTGAGATTCCTCCAGAATGCCTTGAAGAACCAGAAACAACCCCTTTCCCAAACTGTATGTGATCCAGAGCTACTTATACAAGATGTGGTTTACTGTACTCTGCGGTAGACTATCTCATTAAAAGTAACTATCTCAATTTTGGCTTCACATTTCTTTATGCCTTTGAATTTACAGGAGCTCTGAAGCAACAGAATCCAGTATTGGGTTTCCTGGACATACAAAATCTGTTTTTCAGAGTTTCAACCTGACTGCAGCTGAAACCAAATCCCTCTACCTGTAATTTACTTCTTCTGAGGTAATGGTCTGTCTCCTTTCTTCATCTGTCTGACAGGATACTGGAGTGACCATATCAAAAGGCTATAATGGGGCCCCAATCCTGGTAATTACCTTCGCCTGGAGCTTTCCTGCTGTAAGCTGTGCCCAAAGTGAAGCCATCAGTGTTGCTGCCCCCATTCTTTAATGAGATCCTGGTGGCAAAAGGATAGGAGACACAGGCATATTTCCTACCTTTTTCGTGAGTCAGATTCTTCCTTTTTATTTTCACAAAGCAGTTTGACCCACGAATCATCTTCATTCTCAGGACTCAGTTTGGCTGGGAGATTTCTAAGTACAAACTTCCAGGATATGGCTTCATTACTCTGGCTTTGCTCTGCTGATTGTCCATGTTTTCGGCTTGGTGCAATATGGCTGTTCCTTTCTTGAGGGATCTTTTGTGCACATCACATTACAGGGCTTTACATGTAGTAAAGGGTACAGACCTGCAGCCTTCTGTTTTTGGGTATCATCTCAGCTGCCTGTCTACAAAGTATGGTTAGTGGCCAGCTCCTCTAACAACACTATAGGTGCTTAAATGTTTAGAAAAATTCTGCACCTTAATCAGAAACTAAAAATCCTAAAATTACAATTAGAGAAATTTACTACACAAAAATCATTTAGGCCCCTTGGCTTAGGAAAAGCTTTATTACAGAAGAAACATACAAACAAAAACAAACTAAGATGATGAGAAAGGAGTAGGGGAAGGGAGAAGGAGTATGGGGAGAAGAAAAAATTGAGCCCAAAGAAATATTACTATTGCATTTATATCGTACTGTACTAATACCAGCTGAGAAAGAAGTTTCTTCTCTTACTATGTCTCACCTCTCACTAAAGAGGGCCCTGTCTCAAGAATCGTCAGTAGCTTCTCTCTGTTGTCAATATCAGGTAAATCTAGATTCAAAGAAGGGTTCTGAAATCCAGATGTTGTTTTTAGATCAATGATTCTCCAAATGAAATCCAAGGACCTTTGCTGGGTCTGTAAAGTCTTCCAGTCATTCCGTGGGCTGGGTCAAAATGTAAAGCACACAAGAGTATTGTTGGGTAGTTTTGTTTTCTTTCTTTTTTTCAGGAAAACACATTTTCCACTGCGGATTTGAATCAAAATTTAAAAGCATCGAAACAAACGTCTTTCAGGGGAGCTACAAATACTCACAAGCGATTCAGCAAAAACACTGCAAAAATGTTTTCTGTTTCAGCTTGTTTAGTTTTTTAGTAAGTAGTAAATTTGTAATTTTCTAGTAAATAGGTGATACTCCTGTCTCTCACACAATGTAGGGACTGAATATTTTGACTCACCGATGCAGATCAAAGACGAACTTTGCAAAGCGCCTTTATGAGGGGGAGAAAATAAGATTCTCTCCTCCCTGGACTTCCATGTCTCGGTATCATTTATTCCTGCTCCTCTCAGCACCGCTTCCTAGCTCAATGCCCACAGCTTGGAGTCAGAAGCAGCCACTGCCTCAAAGAATCCCTCTCAGCTGCCCGGCTGTCTTTCCTCAGGTTTCTCTTGTGGAGAGGAGGCAGGAACTCAGGTGTGGGGTGAAGGGGGCTTCAAATGCAGCTGCGGCTTGGGAAGATCTGTTTTTCCACATCCTAGCCCCACAGCAAGAGTTAACCCTAGGAGAGCTTGGGCTGCCGGAGGAGACTTTGTGAGTTATCAGATGACCCCGCTGTCAGCCATAAAGCACATCCAGGCTGCTCCAATGCCAGGAGATTTGCACTCACGGCTAGGTCTGGCTTTCCTTGTCTAACGGAGCAAGGTGCACGTTTGGCCATTTGTGGAATCAATTTGCACAGCCATAGTTTTCTTGAAGGATTTCAAAACATTTGGTCTGCCTACAGAGCATGGAAATAGTTCAGAAGCTGTAAAACTGAGTGCACTTGGAGGCCTCTAATTGGATTTTGCTGAAGTGCTGGCAGCACCATCTACCTATCCGGTAATTCTGCCATGCAAACTAAGTGCCCTCTGATCATCAGACGCCGCCCAGTGTCACCCAGGTGCTGTTGGCCCCCGCGATTCTTTGGTGCAGACCTACCCAGGAATGGAGGAAGTAATATTCTTTCTCTTTTGCTTGGTAAGGTGAAATAGCTTGTTGGCTCTTTGAATGTGATGGGAAAAGAAGAGAAGAAGAAATAGCAAACAACCCCAGCATCTGGATGGAATTTATTACGTACCTCTGTGGGACCCCTGGTTCCTGAATGTTTCAGCTAATGACTCCCTCTTCCAAGTCTGCAGAGGCTCAAGGCTCAGCCTGTCAGGGAATGATACTTTGCTGCCAGTTACTGCAAGTTGGTTTAAATAGATTTGGAGATGCTGTAGCTGTGACCAAAGCCCTGGCAGGGGGAGGTGGGGCAGCACAAGCCACTTAAACTCACTCACATGTTTCTGTGTGGATACCCCGTGGGAAGGGTATTTGTCACTTGTGGAGAAACTGGACATTCCCTACTGTATTACTCAGTAGTTCAGCCCCAGAGCCTGGCTCATGCAGGTAAAGTCCATGAACTTGCTCATGTCTTTGGGAGAAGGGTCCTGCATGGCTAACATTTCTGGACATGTATAGAAGATAGAGGATCAGAGGATCAAAGAGAACCTGGTTTGATATCTTGCTGCCATATTTAAGCTCTGTGATTTTGAGCCTATTTACCGGCTCTCTTTGATCCTCAGTGTCTTTATCATTAACATAGTAAATAATATCCTGCATGGAGATACTGGGGAACGACTTGAGCTAATGGTATATGGGAAGTATCTGGTGGTACTCAGTGCGCATGAGCTGTATCTGAACATGGACAAGCATGTTGTGGCAAAGGAGTCTTCCACCTAAAGACCCACAATTAAAATGTGTGTTCAGGAATAAGCTCAGTGTTTAATGTTTGCCACATATTCCTTTTTCACCGCAAGTTTCTGGAGGATGCTTGATCTTTAGGTGGAACGATGGGAAAGGCAGTGAACTGGAAATGTGAACATTGGTAAGACACCTTTTTTTTTTTAAGATTTATGTATTTTATTTTAAAGGCAGAATTACAGAGAGAGGGAGAGAGGCCGGCGCCGCGGCTCACTAGGCTAATCCTCTGCCTAGCGGCGCCGGCACACCGGGTTCTAGTCCCGGTCGGGGCGCCGGATTCTGTCCCGGTTGCCCCTCTCCCAGGCCAGCTCTCTGCTGTGGCCAGGGAGTGCAGTGGAGGATGGCCCAGGTGCTTGGGCCCTGCACCCCATGGGAGACCAGGAAAAAGCACCTGGCTCCTGGCTCCTGCCATCGGATCAGCGCGGTGCGCCGGCTGCAGCGCGCCGGCCGCGGCGGCCATTGGAGGGTGAACCAACGGCAAAGGAAGACCTTTCTCTCTGTCTCTCTCTCTCACTGTCCACTCTGCCTGTCAAAAAAAAAAAAAAGAAGATAACCAAATACACAGAGAGAGGGAGAGAGAAGGGAAGGAAGAAGAGAGAGGAGAGAGACAGAATATCTTCCATCCCCACTGGTTCACTCCGCAGATGGCCACAACAGCCAAGGCTGGACCAGATTGAAACCAGGAGCTTCTTTCAGGTCTCACATGTGGGTGGCAGAGGCTCAAGTACTTGGCCTATCTTCTGCTGCTTTCCCAGGTGTATTAGCAGGAAGTGGCCTGAAACTGAGTGGAGCAGCCAGGACTTGAACTGGTGCCCATGTGGGATGCAGGCATCAAAGGCAGCAGCTTAACCAGCTGCACAACACCAGCTCCAGGACACCTTTCAAATTCAGTGGGATGGGTATACATGTCAGTGAAAGATTACAGATGATACAAAAATTCTTAGTGTGTGTCACAGTCTTTGCTAAATCTTTTTAAAAAGAAAAAAAAAGATTTATTTATTCAAAAGGGAGGGAGAGAGAAAAGAAGAAGAATCTTCCCTCTACTGATCACTCCACAGATGGCCCCCAAATGGCCAAGACTAGACCAGGCCAAAGCCAGGAGCTCCATCCAGATCTCCCATGCAGTTGGCAAGGGGTCAAGTACTTGGGCCATTTTCCTTTGCCTTCTCAGGTACATCAGCAGGAAAGTGGAGCAGCTGGGACTCAAACAGGCATTCCAAAACAGGATGCCAGCAGCACTGCAAAGCCAGCCCTGCTAACTTCTTTCTTTTAAATTTTTTAAAAGATTTTTATTTATTTTATTTGAGAGATAATTACAGTGAGAGGGAGAGACAGAGAGAAAGTTCTTCTTTCTGTTTGTTCACTCCCCAAATGGCTGCAAAGGCCGGGTCTGGGCAGATCTGAAGCCAGGAGCCAGGCACTTCTTCCCATTCTCCCATGTGGGTGCAGGGGCCCAAGGACTTGGGCTATCCTCTACTGCTTTCCCAAATGATAGCAGAGAGCTGGATTGGAAGAGAAGCAGTCGGGACTAAAACTGGCGCCCATATGGGATGCCTGTGCTGCAGGGGGAGGAATACCCCCCTGCAACACGGCACTGGCCCCTCCCAGTTAATTTCTTTCTACAGTTGCCGCATTTGCCCTCAGCAATGTAGGTTTACTATTCTTTAAAGATGTTTGCACGAATGAAAAATTGAGGCTCATGATGTTTAAGTAACTCGGAAACCCTTCCTATTCCCTTCTCTGTCCAGAGAGTTCAGTTCTATGGAATGGAACCTTCCCTAATCATCTTGGTCTACAGTGATTTCTTCTTCTGAGTTCCTCTAGTACTCATCATCCACACCAACAATTTCACACCTCTATTTGCAGTGTTGTATATGACTTATTATTTCTCAGCATTTATTGAACAGCCCCCATGGACACCACCCCCACTCCCCAGGCAATGAGAATACACAAATCAGTAAGAAATAGCCCCTGTACTCAGGAGTTAAAAGCTAATGGAGAAAACAACCCTAGCAGCAATTTGTACACATCCCAAAGCATTCTAAGACAAAATTGCTTTCTCTACTTCTAGCTCCCTCAATTTAGATCATGCGTGTTTCAGTTCTCAAGGGGAAAATATCAAATCAATTGGCCTGAAAGTAGTCCAACCAGCCTTAAGGAAAGGAGAATTTTAACTAATGAACTACAGCTGCACATACATGTAAACTCAAGTACAAAACACAGCTGAGGTAACAACTGACTTAAAATTCTCCCAAGGAAGAGCAATCTTTCCTGGCTCAAGAGGTTGGGGTCAAACTCCTGGCCCTTTGGCAGTACAGAATTCCTGGTGGCAGAATGTAGTCTGAGCCGGCGCCGTGGCTCAATAGGCTAATCCTCCACCTTGCGGCGCCGGCACACCGGGTTCTAGTCCCGGTTGGGGCGCCGGATTCTGTCCCGGTTGCCCCTCTTCCAGGCCAGCTCTCTGCTATGGCCAGGGAGTGCAGTGGAGGATGGCCCAGGTGCTTGGGCCCTGCACCCCATGGGAGACCAGGAAAAAGCACCTGGCTCCTGGCTCCTGCCAGGATCAGCGCGGTGCGCCGGCTGCAGCGGCGGCCATTGGAGGGTGAACCAGCGGCAAAGGAAGACCTTTCTCTCTCTGTCTCTCTCTCTCTCACTGTCACTCTGCCTGTCAAACACATAGTAATAAAGAATGTAGTCTGAATTCCTGCATGGTGGAGGCAAGAGGCTCACTTCTTGGTGACTAGGTATGATTTTAAGATTATCTATTCCAGGCCTGGTGCTGTGGCATAGGAGGTAAAGCCACTATCTGTAGTGCTGGCATCCCATATAGGAGCCAGTTTGAATCCCGGCTGCTCCACTTCCTATCCAGCTCCCTTTTAACAACCTGGGAAAGCAGCAGAAGATACCACAAGTTCTTGGGCCCGTGCACCCATGTGGGATACCTGGAAGAAGCTCTTGGCTCCTGGATTCAGTTTGGCCAAGCTCCAGCCACTGCAGCCATCTGGAGAGTGAATTAGCAGATGGAAGATCTATCTCTCCCTCTCTCTCTTTCTCTGTAACTCTGAATTTCAAATAAATATTTTTTTTAAAAAGAGTATCCCAGTTTCTGTTTAGTTATCCCATCAAAAACATATTCACAAGATAGTCTGCCTCAGTGCAGTGATAATTTGCTAGCACATAATGGAAATCCATAGATAGAAATTATGAAAGTAAAGTCTGGTGCACAGAAAAGACACTCAAGTTTTTGTTTCTTTTTGGTTCTCTTATTCAGTCTGGATCTTGCTCACCAGCAATTTTAAGTTCCTTTTTTTTTTTTTTTTTTTGTTAAGTTTCATGCTCTAGGATTCTGAACCAATTCAATCTAGTTATCCAGTTTAATGAACAACTTTAATGTACAAAGCAATATGGTAGACACTTAAGAGAATAAACATGAATAAGAGAGGATCCCTGCTTCAAAAGTTAAATCGTGCTTTTTATAATCCATAATGTGGACCTGAAAATATCATGTTCTTGTGACAAGCATTTATGCTTTTAAAAGCCATATATAAACACCATGTAGGATGAGCTCAGAGGACTTGGGGCTTTCAGACTTCACCAGCTTAAAAAAAGTGCCTGCAGCACTTTTTCTTTCCTGGGCAAGAAGAGGCACTGACCTGAAATTTCATTATGTCTGCTCTCAAGAGCCAAGTCAGAGAGATCTTTGACTCTCGTGGATATCATACTGTGGAAGTTGATCTCTATACTGCAAAAAGTCTCTTCCAAGCTGCTATGCCCAGTGGTCCCTCAACTGTTATCTTTGAGGCTGTAGAGCTCCAGGACAATGACAAGACTCAATATATGGGAGAGGGTGTCTCAAAGGCTGCTGTGCCTGCCCTGGTTAGCAAGAAACTGAACATCATAGAACAGGAGATTGACAAACTGATAGTAAGCATGCCTAGAACAGAAAATAAATTTAAGTTTGCTGCAAATGTTCTTTGTCCCTAGCTGTCTGCAAAGCTGACACCACAAAGAAGGTATGTAACTACCACATTGCCAACATCAGCAGCTCCAAAGTCATCCTCCCAGTCCTCGCTTTCAATGTCATCAGCTAGCAACGAGCTAGCCATGTAGAAGTTCATGATCCTCTTGGTCAGTGCAGCCAACTTAAGGGGCGCACTGAAGCTGAGGTTTATCACAACCTGAATTAAATCATCATGGAGAAATATGGCAAAGATACCACCAAAGCAGGGCTTGCAGGTGGTTTGCTCACAATAGCACTGTGGAGTATCACTGCCCCCATTTTACATCTGAGGAAAGTGAGACCCAGTGAGGTTAAATAACTTGAGGTCACATAACTATCAAATGGTAAAGTCATAATTCAGATGCGTTGAGTGGCAGTAGATGGAGTCATTCTGAAATCTGTTGGATCCTAGATCCACCAGGCTCCATCAGGGCTACGTGATATTTCATATTACTAAACTGCTCCAAAATGATGGGAAGGAAGCCCTTACATGGTAGGGAGACTCTAGGGAGACCCAGACATTGCCTGAAAATTCAATTGCACCAAATGCCTTTGGTTTCCACCTTTCCATTTTTGCACCTTGATTTTAGGCTGTTGATTAGAAGAAACCCCTACCAAGCTGGCAGCACCCTGGAAGGTGGTAATCCTTGAGGCAGAGGAGACATTGAGGAGGAGAATACAGAGGCCTGTTAGCCCTGAAACCACTGAAGATCAGGGAGATCTGACCAAGCGGTCTAAGTGCATTGTTGCCCCACAGCTGGAAGTCATTAACAGCAAATAGTTGCACAACAAGCAGTGTAAAAGCAGGGAACAGTTTTGGTCAGGCTGCCAAAGTCACTGAACCAAAACCTGGGTCCTGGGTTCACCAACCTTACTACTCAGTACTTTCCACTGGAGGAATTTCTCAAGGAATCTGACAATTGAACTACGCTCTTGCCGGCGCCGCGGCTCACTAGGCTAATCCTCCGCCTTGCAGCGCCGGCACACCAGGTTCTAGTCCCGGTCGGGGTGCTGGATTCTGTCCCGGTTGCCCCTCTTCCAGGCCAGCTCTCTGCTGTGGCCAGGGAGTGCAGTGGAGGATGGCCCAAGTGCTTGGGCCCTGCACCCCATGGGAGGCCAGAAGTACTTGGCGCCTGCCACTGGATCAGCGTGGTGCGCCGGCCACAGCGTGCCGGCGGCCATTGGAGGGTGAACCAACGGCAAAGGAAGACCTTTCTCTCTGTCTCTCTCTCTCTCTCTCACTGTCCACTCTGCCTGTCAAAAAAACAAAAACAAAAACAAAACCAAAACTATGATCTTCTGGTATAAGAATGTCCTCTCTAAAGCTGGAGAGGAAATGAGCCACTAATCA